GCTAGCCTTGAGCTGAAGAGCTGAGGGACAGTGCCCAGGCCCAGAGTTCAGGCCCCATGACTGGACCCCCCCCCAAAAAAAAGATACAATATAAATAATGCTACAAATAAAGAGAACTTACATTGGGTCTCCAGAACGTATATGTTTGCAGGCTGTCTGTATTACAGACTCACAAGCTTCATTCAAAGCTCGATCAATGCGGTAATCTGCACCAGGATCAGTCTCTTGTATCAGTGTTTGAAGCTGGAGTTAAAAAAATTAAGAATAATGTCATCTCATCACTTAGATCTGTTGCTCAGACTGGCACAGCACAATGAACTCTTAACAAGGTAGAACAACTGTCACTGGCCAAATTCAAGAACTTTCTAACTGGCTTCTCCACCCAGTTGCAAAGTTTTCTGTTTATGTCACTGTGGAGGTAAGTGGCTTATTTACACTTCTAAATCGTCCCTGGATAGCTGCTAATAGTATGACTAAAAAGGCTGCCTTTTTATTGCCTACTCTTAAACCTGACTCTCAGGACCAAGCCAGAGTTGAGTGGAGGAGAGCCAAGAGAAAGTTAGTAATACTGGTATAAAATAACTATATAATGATTTATTAAAATCAGATGTGAAAGATTTTATTTAACTTGCAGAAACAATTAGAAACAAGAAAACGTTGCTGGGTGCCTGTGTCTCATGCCTATAATCTTAGCTATTCAGGAGCCTGAGATCTGAGGAGTGTGGTTTGAAGTCAGCCTGAGCAAGGAAGTTGCTGAGACTCTTATCTCCAATTAACCACCAAAAAACTGCAAGTGGAGTTGTGGCTCAGGTGGTAAAGCACTAGCCTTGAGGGGGAAAAAACTTCAGGGACAGCTTCTAGGCCTGAATTCAAGGCACAGGACTAGCACAAACAAAAAAAGAAAGGAACTGGAACTCTTTTTGTTGGTTGGTCATGGGGCTTGAACTCAGGGCCTGGGCACTGTCCCTGAGTTCCGGTAGCTCACACCTGTAATCCTACACAGGAGGCTGAGATCTGAGGATTGTGATTGGAAGCCAGCACAGTCAGGAAAGTCCATGAGACTCTTATCTCCAATAAACTACTCGGTAAAAGCTGGAAGTGATGTTGAGGCTCAAGTGGTAGTGTTAGACTTGAGCAAAAAAAGCTTCGGCCCAAGGCTGGGAAGGTGGCTCAAGTGGTAGAGCGCTAGCCTTGAGCTGAAGAGCTGAGGGACAGCGCCCAGGCCCAGAGTTCAGGGCCCACGACCGGACCCCCCCCCCAAAAAAAAAGCTTTGGCCCAGAGTTCAAGCCATAGGATTGATTTGATTTTTTTTTTTTAAAGTTTCCTTGGCTTTCCTGGATCTCTTTTTGTGTCAGTGAGTCTAGGAGTCCACTCTGATCTGCATACCTGATCCATAATCCAGAGGTTCATATGAAAGCACTGGCTTTTCATACACCTACCAGATACTGTAGATCAAAGGAAATGAAAAAAATCTATTTGCCTAAAATAAGTCACTAAGAAAAATATGAAGAACTGCTGGTATTTTGGGTGGAAACTATTTCAGGGTTTTTTTGGGGGTGGGCAATCTGGAGAAGCTACAAACTGTTGTGATTAGTTGTTAGGAAGACTACAGTACTGTGCAAAGAAAATGGCAACCAATTTAATGTATGTCAGCAAACTCTGGAAGTCTTTGCAAGGACTGTCAGTTAAATTTCATGGCTAACATGTGACTTGTGAGAACCCCTAATGAATTGATTAAACTGTAGCTGATATGTAAATGCCCTATCGAGTCTAGCTAGTAGGCTAGCAGTTCAAGAGACTGATGGGAACGTGGGAAATACATAAGAATGTCTACTACTATATACATGTACATCTATTCCAGTTTACCATGCTTAGGAAAACGGGGAAAACTTTGGAAAAGGGGGCTGGGAGTATGACTCAAGTGGGCCTAACAAGCATGCAGTCCTGAGTTCAATTCCCAGTACTGCCAAAAGAACAATAAACTGATAGTTATAACCAGATAGTTATCTTTGGCCTGGGAGAAGCCAGGCTGCCCTCATTCAACTATAACTGAAGAAAACTTAATATAGATCATGAATGTGATATGACAGAGTATGTACTCCTCTTTTTTGTCATTCTCGTCTTTAGTCTATTATACATTAATAAGAAGAAGAAACTCCTAGAAATTTCAGTTCAGTCTAACTCTCAGACTCAACCAAATCAATCTATTAAGAAAGGCAAATTCTCTTTTGGGGGACCTTTATTGATTTATTAGTGTTTTGACTTCTCAGTTCAGTAAAACTAATTTAGCAAGATGACAATTCCCCAGATACTCCAGCAAATGCAAATATAGTTGGATAAAGAAATACATTTCTCTTATCGCTCTTTTTATGAACTTAAACCTTTGTTCTATAGCTAATTCCACATTCTTACTAAGATATGACCAAAGAAACAATATTCTTTTTCTTTTTTTGCCAGGCCTGGGGCTTGAACTCAGGGCCTGTGCACTGTCCCTGAGCTTCTTTTGCTCAAGGCTAGCACTCTACCACTTGGAGCCACAGCGCCACTTCTGACTTGCTGTTTATGTGTCGAACTCAAGACTTTATGCATGCTTGGCAAGCACTCTATCATTAAGCCACATTCCCAGCCCATCTTTAGGACCTTATGTTCATTGCAATGTCAAAAATAATCCAGATAAATCAAGGAATTATTGGGAACAGGCTCCTTAACTGAAAACAAGTCATGGTCAAAGAGACAGCAGAAGTTGGTCCTTACCGCCTGCTGGCAGTTCATTCCAAGATTCCCTTTCTCCCCCCGAACTACTTTCATCAGACAGTGCAGGGTTCGACCTTTCCGATGTAACCCAGAACAATGGTGCTCAATCTCTCCACGACAGCTCAGGATGATCTCGGGGCTCAGAGAGAAGTCTTCCATCAGCATGCGCCGGTAATCTAACATCTCCCCCTGGCACTCACTGCTCACTTGACGCCCTAAGGTAGGATGTAACTTGTATGTTATGAAGGTTGATCTTGAGTATCAGAAATCACTATATATTAAAAGAATGTTTTTGTCTAGTATAGCATATGCCACTTATGTGTCTATCTATACTAAAAAGCTTAGAAATTAGCAAAGGCTTTAAGAGAGTAAAGCGGGCTTAGACTCTGGAGACTTAGGCTTATCTGGACAGTGTTGAACATTATATAGATTTTATACTCCTAAATCAGTAATACAAATGCTTGCAATGAAAGTCTCTGTATGTGTGCATGCGTATGTACACGCATGCACATTGGAGATTGAATCCAGAGCTTTACACATGCTAAGCAGCACTTGGCCACTATGCTACAAATGAAACCTGAAGAACAAATCCCTATGTGCCTACACAGTTAATGCTTGTTAAAAATAAACACTCCTCGGGCTGGGAAGTTGGCTCAATGGTAGAGCGCTTGCCTTGCATGCCTGAGGCCCTGGGTTCGATTCCTCAGCACCACATAAGCAAAAAGAAAAAAGCCGGAAGTGGCGCTGTGGCTCAAGTGGTAGAATCCTTGTGAGCTGAAGAGCTGAGAGACAGCACGCCAAGGCCCAGAGTTCATGCTCCACGACCGACCAAAAAAAAAAAAAAAAAAAGAACAAAAGAACCCCCACCATACTGTATTCTTTTTTTTTGTTGTTAATTTTTTGTTGTTGTTGTTGTTGGTTGTGAGGTTTGAACTCAGGCCCTGAGCCTCTTTGTGCTCAAAGCTATTGCTCTACCACTTGAGCCATAGTGCCACTTACAGATTTTTTTGTTTTTTGCCGGTTGTGGGGCCTGAACTCTGGGCCTGGATGCTGGCCCTCAGCTCTTCAGCTCTGGCTAGAGCTCTACCACTTGAGCCACAGTGCCACTTCTGGCTTTTTCTGCTTATGTGGTGCTGAGGAACCAAACCCAGGGCCTCCTGCATGCAAGGCAAGCACTCTATCACTGAGCCACCTTCCCAGCCCACAGTTTGTTTTTTTGTGTTTTTGTTTTTTTGTGGGGCCTGAACTCTGGCCCTGGATGATGTCCCTCAGTTCTTCAGATCAAGGCTAGTGCTCTACCACTTGAGCCACAGTGCCACTTCTGGTTTTCTGGTGGTTAACTAGAGGTAAAAGACTCACGGACTTTCCTGCCCAGGCTGGCTTTGAACCTCGATCCTCAGATCTCAGCCTCTTGAGAAGCTAGGATTACAGGTGGGAGCCACCAGTGCCTGGCCTGATAAAATTCTTGCTTTCATTCAGGGAAAGAACCTACAGTAATGAGAATATTTAATAAGGCATCTACTGAAAAATTAAAACAGCTGGTTGGCTATCTGTGAGGCTCATTGGTTTGGTTAGCTGCAACTAAATGTAGTTCTAGCTTCGGTACAATTCTGAAATAAAATTCCAATTTTAATCCCCAACACTGTGTAGTTAACAACTAAAGCTTCATTTCTTTTTTGTTATTTTCTGGTACAGGGCTTTTGCATTCTCACCCAGCTTTCAAAATTGCTCATAGCTAGTGCTCTACCACTTGAGCCATTCTAGCAATTTGCTGGTTAATTGGAGATTGAATCTCATGGATTTTTCTGCCCTAGCTGGCTTTAAACTGCAATTACCCAGGTCTCAGACTCTGAGTAGCTAGGATTATAGACACAAACCACTGGAGCCTGACTCTATGCTTTATTTTCTTGGTATAAGCCTTTGGGTGGGTGTTTATTTTGAGGTGGTCTTGCTATTCACAGCCTAGCCCAAGTTAGCCTTAAATTTTAGATCCTTCTGCCTCAGCTTCCTAAGTACTATGATTACAGGTGTGTATCAGCATAACCCCTACCCAAATATGCTTTGATTCTGTACTTTTAAAAGGGTATGGCAGGGTTGGGAATGTGGCTTAGTGGTAAAGTGCTTGCCTAGCATGCATGAAACCCTGGGTTCAATTCCTCAGTACCATATAAGCAGAAAAAGACAGAAGTGGTGCTGTGGCTCAAGTGGTAAAGTACTACTCTTGAGCAACAGAAGCTCAGGGTTAGCACACAGGCCCTGGGTTCCAGCCCCAGGCCTGGCCAAAATTAGTAATTTATATTTTTATATAGTCAGCCCTCTATATTCTCAGAATGGGACTATCAGGAAAAGAAAATTGTCTATGTTAAATATGTAAGTTTTTCTTAACTGGGCACCGGTGGTTCACGCCTGTAATCCTAGCTGCTCAGGAAGCTGAGATCTGAGGATCATGGTTCAAAGCCAGCCCTGGCAGAAAAGTCCGTGAGACTCTGATCTCCAATAAACCACTAGAAAACCGGAAGTGGCACTGTGGCTCAAGAGGTAGAGTGCTAGCCTTGAGCTGAAGAGCTGAGAGACAGTGCCCAGGCCCAGAGTTCAGGCCCCATGACCAGACCCAAAAAAATAATAAAAATAAAAAACACTCCTCAAATATTCACACAAACACACCCATATTCAGTTGCAAGTGCCAATAATGAAAACTTTAAAGAATTAAAACAGTAACAAAACTAAAGTCAAATACACAAAAACATAAAGTTATAAACATCTAGTCAGTGATAAAGCCACCAAAAGTTCATATGCTAAATCATTTACCTCACTCCTCTATAAATGTTGCGCAATATTAAAATATTAAAAATTAAAAATGTTCAGAAGAGCAAACACAGAAGGAAATTGACATGTACAAGAAACTTCAGAGTGTGAATCCAAACAGAAAAGGAAATAGAAAGGAAGAGAAAGGGAAAGAGAAAAGCAAAGGCAAAGGCAAAGGTAGAAGCAGAAAGAACTCTCACCTCTGTGTACTGCTGACTCAAGGCACATTAGAAGGTAGGAGAGCCTCGCTTCCCGGGAGCGAGGAAGGTTTTCCACATTGCACCGGTATTTCTTCAGGTCACTCTTGCAGGATTTGGCCAATGAATAACTGACTTTATAATCCTGGGCAATGAGCTTTTGGCGGGTTGTTAGTGCTTCTCGACACTGAGGAAAAAGAGAAGAATACTCAGAATGCAAAAATAAGAATACTCAGATGGCTCAGCAGTTTACATGGGTCTCTGAGAGAAGTAGAGGCTGTTAACTTCAGTCATCACCAAAATGACTCTCTAAATCTAGTTAAAATTTAGCACAGAATCAGGTTCTGGTGGCTCACACCTGTAATCCTACTTACTCAGGATGCTGAGATCTTAGGTGGTGGTTAGAAGCCAGCCTGGGTAGACAAATCCGAGAGACTCCTATCTCCAATTAACCAGTAAAAAGCTGGAAATGGAGGTGAGGCTCAAGAGGTAAAAAAGCCAAGTGAGCACAAGGTCCTGAGTTCAAGCCCCTTCACCAGCATACACACACACAGACACACACACACTATTAGTATGGTATGTAAGCTTTGTGTGGCAAAAAGTTGTGAATAGAGAACACTGAAATTCCATAGTGAATGGTTAGTTGTTGCCATATAACTGCTGTTTTAAACATTTGGTAAGTTGACTTAAAAGTATTCTGATGTGCCAGGCGCTGGTGGCTCACGCCTTTAATCCTAGCTACTCAGGAGGCTGAGATCTGAGGATCGCGGTTCAAAGCCAGCCCAGGCAGGAGAGACCGTGAGACTCCTATCTCCAATAAACCACCAGAAAACCGGAAGTGGCGCTGTAGCTCAAGTGGTAGAACCTTGAGCTGAAGAGCTGATTCAAGCCTCACGACCGACCAAAAAAAAAAAGTATTCTGATGTGGTACTGTGGCTCAAGTGGTAGAATCCTTGTGAGCTGAAGAGCTGAGAGACAGCACGCCAAGGCCCAGAGTTCATGCTCCACGACCGACCAAAAAAAAAAAAAAAAAAAGAACAAAAGAACCCCCACCATACTGTATTCTTTTTTTTTGTTGTTAATTTTTTGTTGTTGTTGTTGTTGGTTGTGAGGTTTGAACTCAGGCCCTGAGCCTCTTTGTGCTCAAAGCTATTGCTCTACCACTTGAGCCATAGTGCCACTTACAGATTTTTTTGTTTTTTGCCGGTTGTGGGGCCTGAACTCTGGGCCTGGATGCTGGCCCTCAGCTCTTCAGCTCTGGCTAGAGCTCTACCACTTGAGCCACAGTGCCACTTCTGGCTTTTTCTGCTTATGTGGTGCTGAGGAACCAAACCCAGGGCCTCCTGCATGCAAGGCAAGCACTCTATCACTGAGCCACCTTCCCAGCCCACAGTTTGTTTTTTTGTGTTTTTGTTTTTTTGTGGGGCCTGAACTCTGGCCCTGGATGATGTCCCTCAGTTCTTCAGATCAAGGCTAGTGCTCTACCACTTGAGCCACAGTGCCACTTCTGGTTTTCTGGTGGTTAACTAGAGGTAAAAGACTCACGGACTTTCCTGCCCAGGCTGGCTTTGAACCTCGATCCTCAGATCTCAGCCTCTTGAGAAGCTAGGATTACAGGTGGGAGCCACCAGTGCCTGGCCTGATAAAATTCTTGCTTTCATTCAGGGAAAGAACCTACAGTAATGAGAATATTTAATAAGGCATCTACTGAAAAATTAAAACAGCTGGTTGGCTATCTGTGAGGCTCATTGGTTTGGTTAGCTGCAACTAAATGTAGTTCTAGCTTCGGTACAATTCTGAAATAAAATTCCAATTTTAATCCCCAACACTGTGTAGTTAACAACTAAAGCTTCATTTCTTTTTTGTTATTTTCTGGTACAGGGCTTTTGCATTCTCACCCAGCTTTCAAAATTGCTCATAGCTAGTGCTCTACCACTTGAGCCATTCTAGCAATTTGCTGGTTAATTGGAGATTGAATCTCATGGATTTTTCTGCCCTAGCTGGCTTTAAACTGCAATTACCCAGGTCTCAGACTCTGAGTAGCTAGGATTATAGACACAAACCACTGGAGCCTGACTCTATGCTTTATTTTCTTGGTATAAGCCTTTGGGTGGGTGTTTATTTTGAGGTGGTCTTGCTATTCACAGCCTAGCCCAAGTTAGCCTTAAATTTTAGATCCTTCTGCCTCAGCTTCCTAAGTACTATGATTACAGGTGTGTATCAGCATAACCCCTACCCAAATATGCTTTGATTCTGTACTTTTAAAAGGGTATGGCAGGGTTGGGAATGTGGCTTAGTGGTAAAGTGCTTGCCTAGCATGCATGAAACCCTGGGTTCAATTCCTCAGTACCATATAAGCAGAAAAAGACAGAAGTGGTGCTGTGGCTCAAGTGGTAAAGTACTACTCTTGAGCAACAGAAGCTCAGGGTTAGCACACAGGCCCTGGGTTCCAGCCCCAGGCCTGGCCAAAATTAGTAATTTATATTTTTATATAGTCAGCCCTCTATATTCTCAGAATGGGACTATCAGGAAAAGAAAATTGTCTATGTTAAATATGTAAGTTTTTCTTAACTGGGCACCGGTGGTTCACGCCTGTAATCCTAGCTGCTCAGGAAGCTGAGATCTGAGGATCATGGTTCAAAGCCAGCCCTGGCAGAAAAGTCCGTGAGACTCTGATCTCCAATAAACCACTAGAAAACCGGAAGTGGCACTGTGGCTCAAGAGGTAGAGTGCTAGCCTTGAGCTGAAGAGCGCAGGGACAGTGCCCAAGCCCAGAGTTCAAGCCCATGACCGACAAAAAAAAAAAAAAAGAAGAAGTTTTTCTTGTCATTATGCATATGCAAGATAAAAAATGAGTTGTGAAACTTTAACAAACTCATATTCAATTGTTTCAAAGTAATACCTTTTCACTCATTGATTCTTCAAATTTATGGTTAAAGAGGCACTTATATACTCTGCCTTCACCAGCCTGTGTCTGTAAGATAGAACACAGATTATTATTATTATTACAGTTAGCTTAGCTAAGTAATTATGCTATGCATTTAATTTTATGTGAATTAATTGTACAAAATAGTGGGCTTCATTATGACATTTTCATACATGTATACAGTATACTCTGGTCATAACTCATCATCCCATTCTATTAAATATACTGTCACAGAACCAAGGGAAGTATTTAGTGAGCTTCCTTTCTTACAGCTTTATTAGAATCAACATTAGAATCAACTCTTATAATCCATGGTTCTGACAGTGTAAATTAAAAACACCAAGCACAGGAAGTGCACACAAGTAACTTTCAGACCTCTCAAAATGGAAACTATTTTATTTCTTGTCTAAAACTGTCTGTGGAGGTTGAGGGTGTAGCTCAGTGGTGGATGTAGCTCAGTGGTGGAATGCTTGCCTAACACACAGTACTCAGGTGTAGTATACTGTTCATTTTACCCTGGCAAAGTAAGATCCTCATAGATAAAACAGACTTCCAAAAACTGGAACACAGAAGTGAGACAAAGCTGCAAATAGTAACATCGAAAAGTCTCCAGTCCAACTATTAACTAGATGTTAATCTTCAAGACTGAGCAACAAACACTATTTTCTATTATCTTGAGGCGGAATTTATTTTCCATTAGAGTGGCTTTTCTATATGTGAGGGTTCATGATGGTTAATTTTGGCTTACAGTATTAAAGACACTTCCAAAGAAAAGGAAGAAAAGAGAAACATTTTCTTGGCTGACTCACATTTTCACAAAAGCGTTCCCGATCATCTCGGCAAGAAAAATATAAATGCCGGTCTAAATGAAAGTCATCTGAGGATAGCTCAGCCACCCGAAGAATAGCTTTCTTGCAGAGTTCAGACACTTGAGTCTTGGGCTCTTTTTCTTCTGCTTCCTTCACCAGGCCTTTCTCCAAGCATGATACCACCTCACCTTGTGAGTGTGCATCCTAAAACAACAAGGATATTAATATTTTAAAACATCCACCTCTCGAGCTTCAAATAAACACTATTTGGTTAAAAACAAACAAAAAATGTAACAAGCTGCAGAGACAGTCATCCTTACTAGTCATCCTTACTAACACTCTATTAAGAAAGACACCGGCCAGGCGCCAGTGGCTCATGTCTGTAATCTTAGCTACTCAGGGGGCTGAGATCTAAGGATGGTAGTTCAAAGCCAGCCCCAGCAGGAAAGTCCGTGAGACTCTGATCTCTAGTAAACCACTCAGAAAACTGGAAGTGGCACAGTGGCTCAAGTGGTAGAGCACTAGCCTTGGGCTGAAGAAAAGCCTTCAGGCCCAGAGTTCAAGCCCCATGACCGACAAGAAAGGAAGAAAGAGAGACAGAGAGAGAGAGAGGGAGAAAGAAAAGAAGAGAGACAGAGAAAGAAAGAAAGAAAGAAAGAAAAAAAGGAAGGAAGGAAGGAAGGAAGGAGAGAAAAAGAGAAAGAGTGAAAGAGAGAAAGAGAAACAAAGATAAGAGGAAAGAGATTCTGGGAGTTTTTACTGTCAATTAGCAATAGAAAGATAGATTCTGAATTTTTAGTTTAAATATCAGAATATTCTTAAGAAATGGCATTAGTTTACAGCTCTGATCATGGTTCATGTCAATATTAAAATAACTACAGAAATCGCTAAATATTTACCTGTAAAAGCTAGGCATTACCCAAATAATAATATTAGTACCACAGTAACCATAGCAGTAATGCATTTAAAATAGAAACTTACCCTAAATATTTTCCATTCAGGAGTCCTAATCTATGCTCATAAAATACCATGAAGAATGTAATAATTAAATAGACAAATGTAATCATTACATATATATTGATACACATAATATTGATACATATACTTCCTTATATAGACATATAAATACGATTACAGTATAATACAAATTTATGAAATCATCAGTATATAATAGAAAAGATCCTGTGGCCGGGCGCTGGTGGCTCACGCCTGTAATCCTAGCTACTCAGGAGGCTGAGATCTGAGGATCACAGTTCAAAGCCAGCCTGGGCAGGAGAGACCTTGAGACTCCTATCTCCAATAAACCACCAAAAAACCGGAAGTGGCGCTGTAGCTCAAGTTGTAGAGGGCTCGCCTTGAGCTGAAGAGCTGAGGGACAGAACCCAGGCCCAGAGTTCAAGCCCACGGCCGACAAAAAAAAATAAAATAAATAAAATAAAATAATAAAAAAGATCCCTCAAGGTAGGTAGGCAAAATTTCAATGACAGAAAACATACACATATTTGTCTATTTTACTGAAATATAATTTGTTCTATCAAACATTAATTTCCTTCCTGCAAATTCTCATAATCTTGCCTAACAAATCTATGAAGAGGGGAGAACTGTGATTTCTACTGTAACTGAGTTACATAATTCATCTGAGCTGTAAGATATAATAAGGTAGTTATTGGACATTGATTCACTTATTCATTCATCTGCACTGGGGGCTTGAATTCAGGGCCTAGAACTTTTTGGCTCAAAGTTGGTGTTCTACCACTTGAGCAACACCCCCCCCCACACACACACACATCTAACACTGATGGTTAATTGGAGATAACAGTTGTTGTTTTTTTTTATCTGTCAGGCTGGTTTCTAACCTCAATCCTCAGATCTCAGCCTTTTGAGTAACTAGGATACAAGCATAAGTCACTGGCACTCAGACCCATCATTTATCTTTCTAGACCTGTGTAAATATAAATAGGTGAGTGGAGCCTATAAAATTACATGTGGATTCTGTATATATTTTTAAGGAGGGTTCTGTTTTCCTAGTATTTTTTTTCCCTAAAGTTTTGAAGACCCCCCCACCAAGTTGATTTAAGAAGCACTCTGTATTCTTTCCCCCCTCCCCCCAGCCTTCTGCAAGAGTGGGGTTTAAACTCAAGGCCTCCTACTTGCTAGGCAAATGCTCTACAACTTTTAGACAATAAGCCACCTACCCAAGCCACCAAGCCAGACTTACTGTGGAGGAAGGGGGTCTTGTTAGCTTTTTTGCCCTGTCTAGCCTTCAACTTCTATCCTCCTGATCTTTACCACCCAAGTAATTGAGATTATGGTTTAGAGCCACTGTGCCCAGCAAGCCTTCCTAGTCTCTACCTAAACTTTCACCTTTCTCACTAGCTGTCTTTCCCATGCATAGAAACCTAGAAATACCATTATGTTTGGGGATTTTTGTTAGTTTTGTTTTTTTTTGTGGGACAGAGCCTCACTATTTAATCCAGCCTGGCCAAGGATATTAATCTTCTTGTCTCAGGCTCCTGAGTGCTAAGATTATAGGCATAAGTCACCACAAACAGCTTCAAAGAGTAATTCTGAGGATGAGGGATAAAAAGGATAGAGTGAAGTAGACACCTACTTGAAATGTGGAATAAGGCTTATGTTTTTTTTCCTAATTTGTAAGTACGAGCCTAGGTAGGGCTTACCCATTTCTACCTCCTCCAAAAGAAATAAACTGGTAAAGATTTGGACAGAATTTTATCGGTTTTCTTACTACTTATAGTATGCAAGCGGTCATTATGATCATATTGTAAAACATCATATTATAAAACAATGCCCTATTCTGAATTTTAGTAGTTCATAAAAGCTTGCTTAGATGTTACTTAATTACACCTTCTTTCTTCCATTTTTAAAAATTCAAATATTGATTTATGTAAAAATATATAAAGTCTACAGAATCACATTTTTGCCTAAAAGAATAAAAAAGCACTTTCACCTTTTCATCCTAAGACCTGTGGATCATACTGAGTATCTTTGTTATGAAGCATCAAAAGGAGGTTAAAAATACATTCTAGTTAACTCGAAGTTTAGCCTTTAATCCTAGCATTGTATAGCAAGGAAATAATTTCTTTCTCTCTTTTCTTTTTTTTGGTCGGTCGTGGGGCCTGAACTCTGTCCCTCAGCTCTTTAGCTCAAGGCTAGTGCTCTACCACTTGAGCCACAGCACCACTTCCGGCTTTTTCTGCGTATGTGGTGCTGAGTAATCGAACCAAGGGCCTCATGCATGCAAGGCAAGCACTCTACCACTAAGCCACTTTCCCAGCCCTGCAAGGAAATAATTTCTAAGTAATAAATGGCTGTTTCCCTGTGTGTTTAGGCTTTTTAATTGTTTTAAAGATATAACCAAAGATTAAATATTTAGAGCTATTATATATTTCTTAATGGTTTTGCTTCTTGTATACTTTAAAGATAGTATCATGGTTTAAGAACCCCATAAAGAAAGATTTTGAGTTCAAGGTCAGCCTAAGCAATACAGTGAGACTTTGTCTCAAATTGCAAATTGGAATTGTACACTGTGGCTTGCACTTGTAATCCTAGCTACTCACAAGGCTGAGATCTGAGGACTGCAGATTGAAGCCAGCACAGGCAGGAAAGTCCATGAGATTTATCTCTAATTAACCATCCAAAAGTAAGAAGTAGAGGGCTGGGAAGGTGGCTCAGTGGTAGAGCGCTTGCCTTGCATGCATGAGGCCCTGGGTTCGATTCCTCAGCACCACATAAGCAAAAAGAAAAAAAGCCAGAAGTGGTGCTGTGGCTCAAGTGGTAGAGTGCTAGCCTTGAGCTGAAGAGCTGAGGGACAGCGCCCAGGCCCAGAGTTTAGGCCCCACAACTGGACCCAAAAAAAAATAAAATAATAAAATAAAATTAAAAAAAAAAAAAAAGTAAGAAGTAGAGTTGTGTGGTTCAAGGGGTAGAGCACTAGCCTTGAGCCAAAAAATTCAGGGACAGCACCCAAGCCTTGAGTTCAAGCCCCAAGATTAGCCAGAAACCGGTGGCTCAAGTCTGTAATCCTAACTACTCAACTTTGAGGTAACCTCTACTACCAAATTATTCCATGTTAATTACACAGTGGTTTTCATTTACCAAGTTTATAGAACCCCTTTGGTGAAGGCAATGTAGTAGGTACCTTTTCCCCAAGACGAATGCTGCCACATTTCAGAATGTTTATGTCATTTTTGCAGTCATCCATGAAGCCACAGATTAAACGGTAATCACTGAAAATGATGGCTGTCATCTTGGTAATGTACTGATGGCACTGATACTCAGTGATGTTGCCCCGGTGATCCACCAAGCAGGAAACCATGTAACCTTTTCCAACTGGCTCATCAGCACATTCTTTAATCTGTTCAAAAGAAAGTGACTACTTTACACACAAATATTCTGTGCTTATATTAAACTACTGTTTGATATTTTTCTATGATTTCCTATGTATTTGCCTGGGAGACAAAATGGAAAACATTTAGAACTATATTCATGAAAAAAAATTTTAAACCCAGAGCCAGGAGCTTGTGGCTCCTATCTATAATCCTCACAACTCAAAAGATTGAGATCTGGGGCTGGGAAGGTGGCTCAGTGGCAGACTGCTTGCCCCTCATGCATAAGGCCCTGGGGTTCAATTCCTCAGCACCACATAAACAGAAAAAGCTAGAGGTGGCACTGTAGCTCAAGTATTAGAGTGCTAACCTTGAGCAAAGAGAGGCTCAGGAACAGGGTCCAGGCCCAGAGTTCAAGCCCCACTACCGACCAAAAAAAAAAAAAATTGAAATCTGGAAGATCATAGTTCGGAGTCAGCTCAGGCAGAAAAGTCCATGAGACTACATCTCCAAAATAACCAGCAATCAGCTGCTGGAAGTGTGGCTCAAGTACAGAACACCAACAGAACAAAAAAGCTAAAGGAGCACAAGCCCTGAGTTCAAACACCAGTGGTGGCTTAAAAAAAAGTGGTACCTGGTAATAGGATGAAGACATATATTCTGGATTTTATTCATGATTCCTGACTTCTAACTTTTTCCACAAGTCTATAGAAACTCGAATTTCTCTTCCCTGGGGCAGGCCAAAGAAACTGGAATGAGTACTCTCTGTTTTTGTATACGGGAGCTGGCCATTGAATTCTCTGACCTACCCTTCTCTAATAGAAGGTCATATGACACTTCCCATATCCTGATGGGAATAATGCTGATGCAGATAGATAGACCTTGCAGTATGCAGTATTTCACTATGCAGTTTAGCATTAGATAAGGAATGAAATCTTCATAAAAGCCTACAACCTACAGAGTTGAGAAGCTAGTAGATAGGCAAACACACAGAAGTTCTTGAAGGATGAGGTGCTTGGAGAAGGGACCAAAGATATGTGGTCAGGATTCCCTGTAAATCAGGATCTTCCTTAAGAAATGTAGAGAAACTGGCCCTGACTTAAGTCATTAACAAGCACCAACATGAAGAAAGATAAATACATTGCAAACCTGTGACTATAACTTAGGGTTGGAAAAACAGCAACTGTTGTTTCTGTGCTGCTTATATTTGGTGAGTAAAAATATTCATCTTTCTGGGTTTTTGATTACTAGTTTAAAAAAAAAATCCTCAATGCTAACACTGGTTGCTCACAGCTGTAATCCTAGCTACTCAGGAGGCTGAGATCAAAACAAAAAAAGAAATGCCAAATACCACAATTTTCACTAAAATCATTTGTTTACCATGACAAGATAAATAACTCAAAAAATTCCCCCATTATTATTTGAATAATGGTGTACATTTTCACTTACTGTTTTCAGCTTCACATTTAAAATAATAAAAAAAGTCAACCCTTTTAGCACTAACTACTATTATTTGATACATGTACCCTGTAGTTCAGTAACTCCAACTGCAGAGCTAAAACGTTTAGGAAGGTTTATAAACCTAGTAGTGATGATGTGGACTTTGTCTCGGGCCCAGCAGGTTAGAGGATATGAAGCAGCCCTCAAGACCTCAACAGCTGCACTGATGTTGAGGGACCAACAAGACCTGATTTCCAACTGTATCAGTCAACAGTATCCCATTTCAAGTGTAGGTGGATGCTAACAAAAAAAGTCTAATTACACCCCTTCTTATCTCTCAACCAAGGAAGATGCTAATTCTAAGAAAAGTAACTGAGTCAAATGACTCAGATACAAATGTTATCTTAATATGGGGGATGGTCAGCAGATATAATTTTCTCTTCTAAACAACTAAATACATTTATTACCTACCTCTGATATGGTTGACTTACAAACCTCTCTTGCCACAGATTCAAATTTGGGATCAGTAGTCAGGTTCAGTTTGTAATTCCACAACAGCTAGATTCAAGCAGAAAACAAAATAAATTTGAAAAGCAGAAACAAAAAGCTTCCAGTTAGAAAAAGAAATTTATTATCAGTGGTTACTATAAATGACAAAAGCCAATTATTAAAGTTGCATAAGGCATATTTACATGCCCAATAACAGAAATTAAATGTTATCATAATGATAGATAAAACAAAAAATATATATGCAGACAAAAATTAAAGCAGAATCATACATACTTTTCACTAACGAACAATTTTTTTTTTGGGGGGGGGAATGGTCGTGGGGCCTGAAGTCTGGACCTGGGCGCTGTCCCTCAGCTCTTCAGCTCAAGGCTAGCACTCTACCACTTGAGCCACAGCGCCACTTCC